CATCTTATGCTTTCCACATAGGCGCCTGGAAGAGGCTTTCTGTGTAGGCCCGAGGAAACGCAGAGAAGCCCCAGAACAGAACCAGAGGTTTTCTTTGACTAAAGTGTTCCTGAATGAACTGCATTTTTTTGTACTGGTGCATCATCTGTGCAATGACAACAAAGTTTAGTCCAACATTATCTTAAATTTCATTGACCAATCAACCCATTTCACATACTAATATATTTCTACACCAGTTTTATTGTGTTTGTTGCAGCCCAAAATGATTTTTGTAGTTTTCTGGAAATGTTTGTTGGCCAGTTTGGTTTAAACTGAAATATCTCAACTATTGGATACAATTTTTAACAGACATTTATGGTGCTTGTGAGGGCTGGGTAGTGAAGCAATTACAACCCATACAGTCTGTGGTGTTGTGAAGTCGAGCGCGGTGCATTTATGGAGTTAGGCAGTTCAAAGTGTCGAGATGCCACCACAATGTTGGAAGGTATGATGATACAACACTCCTGTGGTGTCTGGTGTTTTACTTTACTGAGTGCATTTATATCATGTGAATTAAATAAAGTAGAAAAAAGGTATCAAATGAAGTACTTTATTGTTATTGTTATGACTTTAAGGGCCCCAGTGCTCAGAGAATGTACTGTAATAACTTTTTGGACCATTTTTATGTGTCCAGCACTTTGGTTTATGACCAATAATGCATCCTGAAGCAATAATGACATTATAAACAGCCATTAGTTGGAAGTTTGGGCAGATGGTTTGTCTGAGGGGTTAACAGTCTTAGTCTATAACTCATCCTTGCGGCCAAAGGTCAAAGGAATAGTTCACCTAGAACCAATATGAATTGTATATAGTTCTCATCTCCGTAGCCTCTGTATGGTACCTGAAAAAGTTTTCTATCGATTGGCATTTAGGAGAGTGGAGCAGTCAAAAAATGAAAACACATCACTGCAAACAAGCTTTGACAGAGGCCAAACAAAAGACAGTGATAAAGGTCAAAACGCACACAAAACTTAAAAAAAAAAAAAAAAAAAAAAAAAAAAAAAAAAAATCCTGTACAGCACTATCCAAGTGACTTGGATGCATTCGTGGACTCACAAAAATCCAAACACAATGATTTTTGCTTAACTACTGCCAAACAGTTTCTTTGTTGGCCTTTGTCAAAGTCTGTTTGCAGCAATCCCTTTAGTCCCATTAGTTGTTACCATAGTAACGACTACTCTGGGGTCCACTGTCTGACAACCAGAAGTCTCTGGGAGCACAAGTCAGTATTTCAGGAGAGCTGATGTAGCAAGCAGCTGTCCAGACCAAGACTTCCTCCTCTGTGAGGTGGTTATTTCGACTTATCTCTATAAACAGATATCTACATTTGAATACAGATACTTTATTTAAAAAAAAAAAAAAAAGTCCACCACTGGATAGACAACTTTTTCTTGGACCATGGAGAACTTAGGGAAGTGAGTACTGTGTACAATTTATCTTGTGTTTGGGTGAACCATTCCTTTATGGTGCTGACAATAAATCATAACGTCCCTGAATCCAGTCTGGCAGGATGGCAGGAATAGCTGCCATGTCATTTCCCATCTCTCTCTCATTTCATTTCCTGCCGTCTCTTTACTGTGAACTTTCTAATAAATGCAGCAAATGTAAATGATTTGTTGACTGAATTGTCTTATGTGAAAAGGTTGCTGATTGGTCGACAATTATTCTTCTAACTGAGGCACTTATTGCAAAAATACTTGTCAAAACCACTACATAAGTTCTCTTTAACAGTGTGTGGACTGGTTTGGGTTGTGTTTAGCTGTTGGACCGACTCCTTCCTTCACTGCACATGTCTGAATTTGATCGTCACAGCTGTTTGCATATGTACGTGTGGGTGTTAACATCTGTTATTGATCCTTGTCAGCTGTTGTGTATTGATCAAATACGTGACAGGATGTGACAGGTGCAGGTCTGGTGTTATTTTACTCCTCAGGGAAATTCACTTCCTGTTGCCCTAATATGGAGCTCCCTGCTTTTATTGTGAAAGGAGGTTTGGCAAGGTCAAAGCCAACATGAACACACACACACACAGACACACACACACGCAGCTCTTTGTTATTCAGCTCATGGTTTGTGATTGATGACAAAGACTGAACTGCTTTGTGTCTCTGTGTGTGTTTCTGTGTGTGTGCGTGTGTGTTTGCACATAGTAGAGGCTCTTACCGCTGTAAGATAACCAATGGGTGTGACTTTACATGAATGCATGAATGTGTGTGTGTGTTTTAAAGTGTATTTGTGTGTGTTTAGTGGGTTGATGCAGCCATGTGTGACAGTAAAGTCTGCTGTGTGTCTGCTGTTACCAAAACTCAAGAGACACACAACAGTGCTTGTGTGTGTGTGTGTGTGTGTGTGTGTGTGTGTGTGTGTGTGTGTGTGTCTTTTGTACTTCTATCTTTGTGGGGACCGATTAAAGTTTCAGAATCAGCGGGCAGGTACAATTTTAAAAGTGAGGACATTTTTGGAAAATGAGGTCAATTTTGGAAAGTGAGGGCATTTAGTTCAGTCCTCACTTCTTCAAAGGGTTTTTTGAGGGTTCAGGTCTGGTTTTAGGATTATGGTTTGAATTAGATTATAGATTAAGGTTAACATTAGGGACTTGAGAACTTATTATGTCAATGAGGGCCCTCACAAGTGTAGAAGTACAGACATGCGTGTGAGATGGTTTCATGAAAGCTTTCTTCTTCTGCTCAGTTTCAGTTTAATTTTAGTTAAATCTGAAAACTCGTCTCATGGTTCTCCTCATTAGGAATTCATTACTGGTTTGGATTTTAAAATCAGTGACTGGAGGCCAAAATGTGAACCTTAGCGTCTCTCTCCGCTGAGCTGGTTCATTCAGCCAGTTCACAATGAATGCCTGACAAACTCAAACTTTAGCCAATAAAACAAATGATCAGACAAAACCAAACTAAAGAAAAAGACATGAGTAAAAGGGGGTTAGCATGATCACAAGCAAATCAAAAGCAATAGAGACCGACTGCAGAAGCCTGTTGGTTTACATCAAACTGCTCTGTGATAGTACGAGGATCGTCTGGACTTTTTGAAGGGTTCCACTTCAAAAAGCAACTGTATGTAAACAGAGGAAGGTATGTTTCGCATTTTTAACCAACATTACATCACTGTCAAATCAATACCTCAGTATATGGCCAGAAACTACCCTGAATAAATGAGACCACGACAGTTTTTTTTTTTTTTTGTTTTTTGTTTTTTCTTTTTCAGGTGACCAACCAAACATATTATTCACATTTTGATGTATTATTTGTCTTTTTTAAAGGTCTGTGTGGTCACACATTTCAAAGTGTCAAATGACTGAAATGTTACCAATGATGCCTTTGTTTGCAAGTGTACAACAAAACTGAAATCATTACTGCTGCTACACCTGTCTAGCTTCCTGTCATGCACTTATTCTGTTTACAATAATAAAAAGAAATTAATATTAAAATTTGGGGAATTTAAAACAATAAGTCCTTGATTTAGCCCTTTTGAACTCTGAGATAAAAATGGTCCGGCAGTGCCTACATTGGTATTTTTGCTTATTGTGATGTCATCTTGTGGAGTATCTTCAAATGCTTCATATCCATAAAATCTGTACAACCTAAGCTAAAACTTTATGTTGGTCAATAAACCATAATAATTGAAAAAAACTATTAAAATTGTTATTTATTATTTATTTAAATTTTTTTTTAATTCTTTTTATTTATTATTTATTTAAACTTTCTATCTTATTTAGTTTTTTAGATATGCTCATTTTGATGAGCAGAGTGCAAAGGCGTTGTCACCATGTTTGCACTACACGTAAGGTGAAGTAAGGTAACGTAATGATGTTGTTGACAAAAGGCTGAGCTTTCTGCTGCAAAAAGAATGAATGCTCCAGCAATTAGTTTTTTATTTTAGATTCTTTTAAAAGAGGATTACGCAGACAACGACCTCCTGCAGCCGCCTGCTGGACGTCTGTTTCTTTTAAACATTAAGACTGCCTCTCTACATGGGGCGCCAGCACTATCCACTACGCTACTGACGGTAATGGTCACGTATATTGTGATAACTTTGCATCATGTGATGATGCAAAACAGACTGAGGCTAAAGCTAACAGTTCCCATGTAATAAAAATTCAGCATCCTAATCAGTTGAGGAGCAATGGTTTTCTAGTATCAAAGGGAAGAGCTATTAATCTCTAGTGTTATATTTCAGTTTAACAAGAAAAAACACATAATCAGGTATATTTTTCTTTCAGGCACAGCCTTGATTACAACTGTACACAATAAGCTAGCGAGCCAGACATGCTAACGTGAGCAGCTTACGTTGTCTACATATGGCACCACCTCACAATCGTTTTGGATGCAGAGTGTATCTCTTAATACCACCCATTTGCTGTACATTGCTTCAATATGTGGAGAAAACCAAACTGACAGACCTGCTGTGCCTTGTTATGGTCGCTAAGGTATAACTTGACAATCACTGTTAGTGGAGGGGTTAAGTGAAAAGTCAATAAATAGTAAACTTGCAGTTGTACACATCCCTCTTGGTCAGATAATTAAATTTCATGTCAGTTGTGTTTCATTGCTGTTCAGCAGATATGAAGTAAACTCATCCGTGGTCTCATTTATTCACTGATGATGCTTTTGTGATGAGATCGAAGCTCAGTAATGTTAAAATATTATAGTTAGACCCTTCAAACAGCTCTGCTGTTATCAGCTCAGACTGAATGAACTCTACCTGCTGACAGAGTCGGCTAGTACGACAGCAGAAACTTCAAATCAACACCAGCTGATAAAAACGTGCAAATATTTCCAATCTGCACTGTTCAAACAGTAGAGTAGAAATATTCAGAAGCTGACACGATGATTGTTGACTTTCTTTCCTCCCAACACTTCACACACTTTGTGTCCTCGTATGACCTTCAACACTTCAACATGAGTTGTGTTTTTTGAGACGTGTGCGACAGGCTCTGTCTCATGTCTTACTTTTCTTGACCTTCTTCTCTTCGTCGTTCTCGCCAGCGCCCAGCAGAGTAAAGATGATGCCAGTCTGAGAGTTTAGGCCGACGGCTGACACCACCATCCTGCCTGATCCCTCCATTACGTGGGTCCCTGAGGAAAGATTCAAATGACAGGAGTCACAAGTGGAACTTGATTTTTATTTCTTTGCACCTCGGTTTTACTGTTAAGTGATATTATCAACTTATGGAGTTCCCCAAGGATCAATCTTAGGGCCACTACATTTTAATCTTACAGTTTGTTGTGGGTTGTCAGCTTTCATGTTTTTTGGCTTGAGACGCTCAGATTCAGTCTCTGGCTGTCCAAAGAAATTACACAACAATTAATTGGTAGTCACTCCTTGATTAAAGATAAAACTGTGTTGACATTTTTAAGCAATTTCATATCTTCTTTATCCCCATAAAAGGTGTGTCAACAGTTAACCGTTAATCCATTTACTGGTGAGCTATATGTCAATCTCTAAGTTAATTTTGCTACTCCTCACTTTACTGTACCACGCACATCCTGGGTCTGGTGGAAGCTAGCTAGCGATGCTGCTCATTCAGTGATGACCGCTAGTAGCGCTGTCCCAACCCGACAGCATTGCTGCAGAAACATTGTGCCCACCCTTTGGTCTCCCTCCAGGTTGCCCCAGTGAGTATCTGGCTCAGTTTTGAGCTGCAAACCCCCTTTAGCATTGTTAACTATGTTAAGTGCTCTGAGATCTGTTAGTTCTGCTATTAATGTCAGTACAACTAGTGGTGCTAACATAGTAAACAATGTCAAAGGGGTTTTGCGGCTCGAAATGAAACTGCATACTGTCCAGGGCTACTTGAGAGACTGGAGAGTGGCCACCATGTTTCTGCAGCAAAGTGTGCTGCAACTGAGATGGCATTACCCACTGTAATTGCTTCCTGCTATCCGATCTGGGTGGTGTTTAGTGCAGAGCAGCTATCAATAGCTAACCAATGGAGACTGAGGGTGGGCAGTGGGCACCATTTTTCTGCATATTAACACGCCTAACCGGCAGTCTGTCAGCAAAGCCAACAGAAAATAAAATGAAAGATCCCAAAACATTAAAATTGCATCACATTTAAATGGACAGCACTTTGAAATGTGGCACTAAAGCTCACTGGGTCAATGGAGCGCCAGACTAAAAGGAAAGGCCTTTTGTATTTCACATCATTATGTGTTTTATTTTCCTGAGTTACCCGTTAATGGGTGTTGATCTATCAAAAGCAAAAATAACCGAAAGTGACATGCCTACCCCATATGCATTAGTCTTCACTTGTGTTATTTTTTTATTTGTATTGTCTCATTATAAGCTTGTCAGTTAGTAGTAGAGCTCTCTGAGTTGTATTAACTTGTACAAAAAATGCTATTCAAGTAATTCGCATGATATACATACAATGAACACTGATTAATTAAGAGATCTAATTCCACATCCTGCTTCAGAGGATTCATCTTACAGACAACAAACAAACAGAAACAGTGAATGTGTTTGTTTAAGGAATATCAGCAGAATCACTTCAAAGAAGAATCAGCAGTGTCAGGAGAATGTGATCCGGCACTCACCGGACAACAGCATGGGGTCCTTCTCCAAAGACTTTCGGACCTGATCAGACTCTCCGGTCAGAGAGCTCTCATCAATCTTCAGGTCATTGCCTTGGATCAAGATCCCGTCAGCAGGCAGCAGGTCTCCTGCAGGCGCAGAGGTCAGAGCATGCATGTTATTTATTTCTCAGAGCAGCTTCAGTGTAAACAGATTTTTGCTCTTTGCAGCAGTCCTCTCATACTGAAGGCTGAGCACCAACACATTACATTAAACATTTCAACCAAACTGTTTAGCTTTCCTGTTAACGCTAAAACCAGACTTTTGCAAAACAGATGAAAGAACTGGAATTTTAATTCAATCTGCCTACTGTAGCGTCAGAACAGTATAAGACACAAAAAACATGTGCTTTAATGTAGTATGCTTTTGGTCTCCTTAGTTCCTGTGAAGGGAAATCTTAATGTTATTTTAAACAATAGTGCTTCCAGCTTTGTGCCAACAGTTTGGGGAAGGACCTTTCCTGTTTCCAAAGCAAGGTTCACAAAGAAATAGTATGTGAATTTTTCATGCCTGATCCAGAGTGAATGAGAGCTATTTATAAAACTCTTAAGATTTAAAGGAGCTGAATACGACATTCAGAACTCTAATATAGCAGCAAACAATTATATGCTCTGTCAGCACTGTTGCCACGTTAGCACTGTTTGCACTGTTAGCATCATTAGCTGCTAGTTAGGCACCTCCATGATGAGAGCCATGTGCAGTTAATCCTGGTCCTGACTCTGAATCATTGACAGGCTCTGAATGTCATATACAGCTTCATTCATAATATGTTTCATAGAAGTGCATCACTGTGGAAACGATCAGAATGAACAGACAGAAAATGACAATCCAGTCATGTCTTTAAACTCGTCTCACTGACGTCACTGGTTTGATATCTTAGTCTGGTGGCTGTGGTGTCATACCGTATTTGATCTGAGCGATGTCTCCCACCACGATCTCGGCCACAGGGATCTGGATGACCTGGCCTTTGCGGATGACGGTGAACTTTTGCTCCTGCTCGATGCGACTCTGCAGCCCGCGGAACTGCTTCTCCTTGGACCAGTCATTGAAGGCCGTCACCAGGACAACGATGATGACCGAGAAAAGGATGGCGGCGCCCTCGATCCAGCCAGCCTGAGCCTCGCCCTCGTCCTCCACACCGCTTGCAGTCTCACCACATGCTGCAGGAGGACAGGGATATTTTACATTTGAATCACATTTACCAAATTAATGTGTCAGGTGGAAACAGGTGGAACAGCTCTGTCAAACTAAAACTGTACAGCTTCAAAAAGTTTTAATTTTAACTCTAGTTTCAGCAACAATGTTAACAAGACAAATGTTTCAGTGTGGACGTGTTTATTTACTTATTTATTTTCTTTGTCTTCTGTATATTTAATCTTAGGCTAATTACTACCATTTAAGGAGCAAAAACATATTCATCATTTTTTTTTTGAGCATCTTGTAGCCAGGATTTTATAAATACTGACTTAAAATGATATGGTTGGTAGGTAAATATTGTGGATAAATGAATAAATGAATTATGAACAAATAATGAGTTAAATACAATAAATGTATAAATGAAGAAATAAATTAATAAATAAAATAATTTTGAGAAATAAAATAAATAAAAAAAGTAATGAAAAAAACAAATATATAATTTTATAAAATGTACTGTTCATTAGACAATTACATTTAAATAAATACATTAACAGAAAATAATAATGCTGAGCTCTCCCCCAAATTAATTGTTGAAACAAAATAATATATAAGACAATCAAATATATAAATTAAATGATAAGAATTTACAGATTAATTTTTTTTATTCAGATAAGTGCTCAATTATATTATAAATTTTCCTACATGCAGGTCTACGTGGTGTTTCCAGGAATTAAATTCTGTTAAAGAAATACTGAAACCTTTATTTTCTATTATGTTGTTGGCCCAATAGTGATCAAATTTAAATATACAAAGTCTAAAAAAGCTGAGATCAGCTTAAAATAAATATCCCTCATGTATTTTATTGTTTTAATGTTAACTCCCCCGAGGTTCCTAAAACCTACAATTCTACATACAAAAAAATATAACATAAAATAAGATAAAATAAAATATGGAGAAGATGTGGGGGACATGATCTTAGTGTCCACGGCGTTATCTACGGCCCTGTTTTTCACCTCTGACTCTGACTGTACCGACCTTCACTGTCGCCCCCTGGTGGATGGTAGAAGGAAAGGCCCAGCGAGATGATGGCAGCGATTTCCAGGATAATGAGTGTAACATCCTGCAGAGCCTCCCACACCAGCTGCAGGAACGTCTTGGGCTTCTTGGGGGGGATGAAGTTCTTGCCGAATGCCGTGTGCCGTTTCTCCAAATCGACAGGGTTACCGGACAGACCTGCAGACGCAAACACAAGACATTAATATTCACATCAATGAAGAAAACTTTTCTTTACACAAAGAAAGGGAAATAACCTGAGTGCGTCTTTGCTTTATAAGCACACATTCACACTAAATGCTCTTTGGAGTCATGAAAGAAAAATCCAAGGCCCTCTGAGTAACATAAATAATTCTGCACAGCTGACACCACCCTGATTTGGCCAGAAACCGTCCTCAGGGTGCTGAAGTCAAACACAAAACAAAACTAGATACAAATGAGTTTCAGGTGTGTGGATAGAAGCCAAAAGGAAAGCACAGTGTGTTTATGTACAGTGTATAGATCATGTCATAACTACTCAAAAAGACAAATAAATACATTCAAAATTAATTTTAAATTACAGAGAAAAATGGCAGGCTCAAACCTACTGGTGTGCAGATAAAAAGTACTGGATTCATTAGGCTCTGTGTGTGTTTCTTCTTATGGTTATTTCTAAAGTGTAATCACTATCATGACATTTTTGGTTCAATACTGTTGTCACAGTTTCACCTTTGCTTCCAGTAAAACCTCTTAAACCTTCACTGGAAGCGTGATTCTTCTGCTGCATACTGTGGCTGTGCACCTACACGCAGCGAGGCCTGAAGATGCACTATAGTTATGAAAGATTTTACAGAATTCTATAAACAGGAGTTTTGCAACATGACCTACTTTTGTTGCCATGAAAGACTGCAGTATTTCCATATACAGTATTTATCTGGGCGAATCACCAGCACAGATTTGTTCCACCCACAGAAATTATGTATCTTTGTATTCATTATTTCCTCCTTTCTGTCTGGAGATCCAGTTTAAAAAAAAAAACAAAAAACAACGGACTAAAAGGTCAGACATATGGTGCGTTCAGGTGCAGACACACAGATGGGAAAAATAGTTTCTATGAGCAGTTTTTTCCCAGGTTTCACTGACCCCTGTGTGTTGCACCCAGCAGTGGTTTCTCCTTAAAACTACCCATCTGCACCGGTTTTATTTTTACGAGAAAAGATTTCTGTTTTATTTTGACACACTTTAGAGTTAAAATCATACAAGAAATCACAAAAAAAAGTAGAGGAACATCTGAAAATATAGATATAACTTTATAGGGCTAAGTATTCTGTGGGTTCTTCTTCCTGTCAATCAACCAGCGACCCTTTGTGTTTATCCAGTGGCCCATTGAGTGGGTCTCAACCCCCAGGCTGGGAACCACTGGTGTGTGTTGTCTGTGGCAGTGATGCGTCCATGGCAGCCTGAGCTGACCCGAACCACCTTCCCCTCCTGCTGCACGCACAATCTGCTGCTCCACCAGAGCCAAAATACTCCACGTCAACACACCACCACCTGATCAGGCCTACCCGCTCTGATCAGCTGACTCATGGGAAGATACTGCAGACCATTAAACACTCAATTGAAAATCAAGATTAAAGAATAAATAAATAAATAAATGAATAAATAAATAAATAAAACTGTCAATCAAACAACAATAAAAGCAGATTAAGAAGGTTTGAATGAATAACATGGAATATATAGTGTAGTGCAGCACTACCCTCGCCTTTTTAAAAGGTAGGGTGGGCTGTGTGCAAACGCTGAAATAAAATCCCAATCAGGGGGCACTGATGGTGTAGTAATTTAGGCCCAAAAATTTAATTTCAGAAGGGCCACACCCCTCACACTGTAAGCTGGATTGAGTTGAAACCAAACGGCAACCTCCGGGGCTGAAAAATGAAGCCAAAGCAAAGTGCCCAAAAACTGCACTTCCTCAATCGTCCACTTGAGGCTGGCTACAAAAGCCAGTCAGTCCCTTTAGATGTTAAATCGCTCAACTTTACAGCAGAAATAAACATGTTTAAAGCCTAGTACAAAAAATATTTCAGTCTTCATAGCTTATTTCCCCCTTCATGACGACTGTATGGGGGGTGAATTTTTATATAACTCCACCATTTTTAATTGATTCTATTAAGGCTTAAAGTTACTCATTAAGACTTTTGTCGCCAGGGAAAGCTCTCTATTAGTCTAGTTTTGGTGTCAAGTGTCTGTGGCAGCTTTCACAGCAGGTGCACCCAAAGTCATGCATTTTACATCAATCAGCCAGAGCTAAAGGGGAGGGGGGGATTCATTAATTTATTTTTTGTTCAGATTTTTCTTTCTGTTTTCTGTTTGGCACTACTTTTCCTTGAGTTTTGATGCTTTTAGGTCGCTTTAGACTTTTTCTCGACATTCTGCCTAACGGGGTCGTGAAAATTCCATCATAATCTTTTAATACCAGTCATTTTAATTTAATTTTTTAACAAGACATACTAAAAAGCATTTAATTTTCATTCAGGGTTGGTGAAAGTGTGGCCGTTTCAAAGCTTATGTAACTACTGTTCCTACAGTGGCAGGTTTACCTACATTAGTCAACGATAACTATAAAATAAAAGGATGTTTTTTCCTCCTTTCTAGCTAACTATAGATTGAGGGAAACATAATTTAATTCACTATTCTGCTAAAAGACTACCGCCGGCAACTACCGCCAACTTTTAAGGTGGAATAATTTCCCAAATGTGGTTGCGGAGTGTCGTTCTGGTGTGCTCTGGCAGCAGTGTACGCCGTGGAGAGAAAAGATGAAGAGACAGTAGATCTTCCTCAGTGTTTTAAATTCAGTCAATGACGGGAAATATTTGGTCATTGTGACCTCTGGTTGACAAGTAAGAGGGGAGAAACAATAGCGATGAAATCCTAAGAATCATCCAAGAAAAGTTTCTCTAGTGGATGCTCCAGATAAAAAGAAACTCGTTCAGAGAAAGGATTAAAGTTAAAAAGCGCTCCTGGGTGCAACGAAGATGCAGCGAGCTCACCCACAGGCATGTGTTATAAGCACCCATCGACGCTGTCTATATAACTACTCTCACTGCCAGAGGGGGGAGACAAAAGTTGCACACTTGAGCTTTAAATATCACAAACTAATTGATTAGTCCAGGTAATTTAAAAACCTGGCTGATGCTTCTCTTCCTGCCAATCTGCAGAAAGATGATATAATCCTCTGCTCTTTGAAGACCAAACAATATCTGTGAGTTATTGATTCCAGACTTGTGACTGTCATTTTCCAGCAGTGACTCATATCTAACTGCTCATTCATTCTCCATATAAAGACAATAAAAACACAATGATCTCTCAGCCGACCCGGATGCTGACAAAGGGAGCAGAGCAGGAGGTCGTCAGAGCTTCCAAGTCTTTTATTAGAACTGAGTGAAAATCAGATCTTTAAAACAACATTAACAGTTTATTTATCATCAATTAATGAATAATGAGCAGCTCGTGTTTATCTTCACTCTCTATTAAGGGAGGATTTTCTGAGCTCAGCTCATCACCACAGGACCTCGTTAACTTTAAATTCAGTAAACAGTGTTATTTGCAGCAACTTCTGGGTGCACAGGGACGAGGCTGCTGCATGAGAACGAGTTGAACTGATGTGCTCTCTCTTTTTTTTTTTTTTAAAGAAATCTGGGTGTTTTTTAGTAAAACCTGAAAATCTGTGACTTGCTCTGCACGGCTGTGTGGGCAGCAACATGGCTGCTGTGGATTCTTGTTGGAAATCGGGAGATGTGCAGTGGAACGTGATCTGAATGTCAACAGATCGCACTGCCAGGATTCCTCATGAAGGAGGACTCTGTAAGTCAGCATGAACATGTTCCTGCCTTCATGTGTTTAAGTAATGGCCTCTCATCCCTTCTTTGATGATTCGCTCCAGAGCGACCAGAGTTCCCCTCCTCCTCCTCCTCCTCTTCCTCATGATCTGTCCCTCTTTTCTTTGGATGCAGTCATCAGGTACCAGATACTAGTTTACGCTGGTTTGAGGTTTTATGTAATTTTAGAGTACACAATCGCATCGAACAGAGAGATACCCGTTTTTCTTATGTCTCACTTATGTCATTTAACCTTACAGTTTTTATCAAGCGCTTACACACCGTAAATGGGCCGATTATTAAACATCCCAAACCGTAACGCCATTTACCAAAGAACAGACCCATTTCCCCAAACTATAAACGCTGTTCACCTGTCTCAATATTCAAAACTGTCTGCAAAGCCTTACACAGAAGTAGCTATATCATTCATTCACTGCATGGTGTGTTCATTCAGCAAACACATGCTCTCAACATAATTAAGTCATCACAACCTAAACTCAAACACTACACCTTTCTCCAGGTTCAAACACTAAGCCTCTGGATTGTTAACACATCAATCACAATGCCTCTAGGCAAGACTATGTGCTTTGTAACAATGGATCCTTACAATGCCGGGTTTGCAAAACACAGGAGAAGAAGAGGAAGACAACAACAACAAAGACAGGTAATCTCAGATTAACTTTGTACCACTTTGGTTTATGGTGAATATGCTGTGTGTCAGTAATGGCATCTGTTTGAGAAAAATTCTAACCCGGATAGTCAGACAACTCTCACGGAAAAAAAAAAACATCCAGATAGGTCGATTGTTTAAACAGTTTATTATGACCTATACTTATGTTTGTTGTAAGCTGTGCCTTCTATTGGCCGTAGTAGTTACTACGGGAGCAGAGAGGACCATGGATGGTGTGTCACGTTGGCGAGAAGGCTGCCGAGCCATAGACCACTGCAGGCGACTGTTCAAGAGCAAAAAACAACATAACAAGTTGTGTTTCAGTGAGTCATTGCTGTGTTTCCAATGTCTTTTTAGGCTCCAATCATGGGTGTTTTGACTATTGTTTTTTACAAAGACATTGCGGCTTTTCCAGCAGAGATTGTGCCCCAACAGAGCACTTTAAGCTCTTTCCTACCCATAACCAAGTGGGTTTTTTTGTCTGAACCTAACTACACATTAACTACAGCATTGCTGAAAGTTTCCATGTATCTTCTACATAATAAGGTGGAAATGTAATGTATCGGTGGTCTGAAGAAATGTTCAACGCCCATTCAACAACTGAGTGGCTTGCCAGGCTGTTCCTGGGGGGTTATCTGGACAGACATTGCTCTTAT